GGGGTCGTTTCTGACTTACTTTCTTCGGGCCAGTAGAAGTTTCCTCGGGAATCGAACCAACCATGTCCTTGTGAGATCCCCATGTATACCACTTGGCTATCCTGCCACACTTTAATCCCAAACATTGCCATATATGGACAATCAATTATAGATGAGATAACTGAGATATAAGTCCGCCTTGTTCTACTCGGATCAGCCCGAGTCCTCAATGCTCCTCCTCCCTTTTCCCAATATCAAACACAAAGACATTCTGATTTCAAAATATTTATTCAAAACGAAATTATTTACAACAACACGCACATAACTAAATCAAACCATATAAGGGGAAACAAGAAGATAAACTTACCCATCAGCGGGAACCATTTCCTCCTCTTCTCCGGTATGGATATTCTGTATCTCCAAAGATTCAACAACGAAAAAAAACTTTTCTGAACAAAAAAGAAACTGAAAGCGCATACCATAATGGGAAAGAGAATGAAGAGCAGATTCGAATAAGTACGAACATGAATATATCAAATGGAGAACAAGGCTCAACTTTGACAAAAAAAAATTTCGGTCGCGCTATCAGGAGAAGATTTCCGAAAAAAAAAACTTTTCCCGTAATCATCCCAAACGAAAGCGCATACCATAAAAGGAAAGAGAATGAAGAGCAGATTCAAATGAGTATAAACATGAATATATCAAATGGAAAACAAGGCTCAACTTTGGCAAAGAAAAATTTCGGTCGCGCTAACAGAAGAAGATTCCAGAAAATAAAAAATTTCCTATGATCGACGAAACGGAAAGCGCATACCATAATAGGAAAGAGAATGAAAAGCAGATTCGATTGAGTACAAACATGAATATATCAAATGGAGAACAAGGCTCAACTTTGACAAAAAAAACTTTGATCGCGCTATGAGGAGAGGATTCCCGAAAAAAAATGTTCGCGTGTTCGACGTAGCTCTGTAGCACGTTGACAGATTATCTCAATTGAAAACTGATAAATTAGGAAGTAAGATGTAAAACTGATGGAACAAAGGATTGATCGAAAGCATTAGACGAAGCAAAAAGTTCATCAAGAAAATGAAAGAACGAAGAGAGCCAATGGGTGTCTGTCGAGCGATAGAACGAAGTAGTAACAGGACTCTCTCAAGGATCGGTAAGTAAAGACGAGATAGTATGAGGTAATTGAATAGGACAGTTCAAGATTCTATTATCCATGAAGACATGTGGGTTGAACAACCCAACGAACAGGAAAACAGAGAAAAAGAAGTTGAGAAACAACTTCTGCTATCAAACGAGGAAAGGAAATA